GACTGAAAAACAAGAAGTAATGAATTGGACTTTGAAAAGCTGTGTCTTCAGAGCGAAATGTTAAGATCGTGTTTTTCCTTACTGACTTTGTTGAGTAGAGAAGGTGAGGCTGGTATCTAGTTCAACCTCTAGTATCTAGTCTTAAGTATAATAGATCTTAATTTCCATATTGTAAAATTTCATTTTATAAAATCTGTATACTATGCTCTTAATATTTTTAAAATTTTCATAGCGTAAAGAATAGTTAAAGGGAAATTATTAAGTTCTAAGGGTATCTAGGATATTTTTTTACCCTTAGGTAAGGATGAATCTCTGGCCTGGTGGGTAAGGCATCGTGCTGCCAATCCATAGGTAGTTCTCATTCACCTACTGTCTGAGGAAGAAAGATTGGCTGTCTCCTTTGCAGTTTACAGCCTCTGAAAACCCACTGGAGCGTCAGCTATGACTCAGTTTCAGCTCAACAGCAAGTTGAGTGAGTGAAGGAGGTGATTATTTTGTAACATTGCTTTTGAGGGCCATTTAGGATTTCTTGATGGTTTTAAAAAACCAACCACTGTCGTCAATTTGATTTCAACTTACAGTGACAATGTAAGACAGTAGAACTACATCATAGATTTTTCCAAAGCTGTGAATCTTTTCTGAAGTATACTGCCTCATCCTTCTCTCTGGAGCAGCTAATGGGATCAAACTACCAACCTTTTGGTTAACAGCCAAATGCTGTAATCATAGCCCCACCAGAACTCCTGATTTGTTGTTGTTGGTATATTTTTTTTTATTGTTGTAAAAATGTCTTTAACACAACATTTGCTGATTCAACATAGTTTCCCACTATACAACTTAGTAATACTAATTATATCAATCATGCACAATCTTCACCCATTATCACTGCTGAATTTTCCAACACAAAAGTGATTTGTTTTGCCATCTAAAATGCTTTACAGTATTCTCTGGGAAAGACAAAATCATCCTGCGGACCTGTTTTGTCATACAATCATCATTCTGAAAATAAGTCTTGGACTATACTAAAAAATATGGACCGCTTCACAAATTTGCATGTCATCCTTGCACAGGGGCCATGCTAATAATCTCTGTATCGTTCCAGTTTTAGTATATGTGCTGCCAAAGCAAGCACAGAACTCCCGACTCTTAGCTGCTTAGTAATAGTACACACTGTACAAAGACCAACAAAATTTTGCCTTTATACCAGCTTTGTAATTTATATGGGTAACTTTAATCTAGCCAAGACAACTGTAAATGGCTCTGATCTATAAATCCATGCCATGGTGCTTAGACATCTCTAAAGGAGTCCACCCTAGGTTAGGACACAATTCTGTTGTGACCTAATGGTCAAGTCCAGATTTGTTTAAGAGAAACTTTCCACTTTTAAAAGATCAAATCCTTACTGAAATTTCTACCATACATGTAAAAGGGATTTGAATATATGACCTTTCTTTCACAAAATGTAAAACAAATAAATAATACTCAGAGCTTGGGGAAGAATATCAGAGAGAAATGCAAGAATACCATAAACCATACTAACCATGAAATTTCTTACACCAAGCATGTAGATTGCTCCCGTCCCACCCCATGAGAACAGAGAACAGAGAACAGAAAAATTTATCAATGTCTCTTTACTGGCCACAGCTCCACATTTTCAAGTTCGCACTGAGCACCAGGGTTCCATTATTTTGATTTCTCTCTCTCTCACACACACACACACCTCCCTAACCCCCTGACCCTTTTCCAGCTGTTTGTGCACTGTTTTTTAATACCGTGATGCAGGTATGTCAGGTGCTTTGATGGCAACCCTGTACACGACAGAACAAACACTGCCCAACCCCAGCTCTTCCTTAAAATCTCTACTGTGTTTTTTGAGCCCAGAGTTGTACCTACTCTGTGACTTTATGCTGTTGAAGGTCTTGTCTTTCTGCTGATCCTCTATCATGTGTATTGCTTTTTCTCTGGTAACTGGCCCTTCTTGATAATATGCCCTAAATATTTGAAAAGTCTCACCATCTGAGCTCCTGAGTTGCTGGCTCCAGTTCTTCCAAGACAGATTGGTTGGTTTGGCAGTTCATGGTATATTCAAACTCTTTGCCTGCATCAAACTCCAAAGGCAGTTCTTCAGTCTTTATTCATTATCCACCTTCCATTTGCATGTGACTCATTGTCATGATAGTGAGATGAACCTGAAGCTGAACCCTGACATACCTGTATCATTGTATTAAAAAAAAATAACTGATTCAGTATTTTTTTTTTTCATTTTCTATGGTCAAGGTTATATAATCTGCATGTTGCAGGTTGTTAATGAGTCTCCAGTCCTAGTTCTCTGTCCATGTAGTCCAGTTTCATGAATTATTTGCTTAGTGTAAAGGTTGAATGGATATAGTTAAAGAATGACTCAGATTTTCAGAAATCTGTGTTTTTCAGGAGTGGAAGTCCAGAGCTGCTTCCTAGTCTGTAGTTCTGCTGAAGCCTCTCTCCCTCAGATGACCCTCCTGGTTATTTGATATTGGCTGCATACTTTACAGCAGAACAGCAACAGACAAGTGACAACAGTATGAGAATTCAGGTATAGCTCAAGTCTTCATTTTCCTGGATCTAAAAGAAACCTCTGAAAATGCAGAGCAGAAGAGACCTCAATATTTTGGTCTCTATTTTGTTATTTTCTAGATGATAAAAAAGCTAGGATCAGAACTAGTGGGGTTTTGGGGATTTTTTTACACTTAATGAAAATATTTTATTGGCCTTCCGGATAGAAATGGGAATTTATTTGCCAAAAAAATATAGAATGCTTCACGAATTTGTGTCATCCTTGTGGGGCGATGCTAGTCTTCTCTGTCATTCCAGTTGTAGTATATATATGTGCTGCCGAAGCAAACACTCTGAACTGATTTTAAAGGTTAATCTGGAGGTAAACTTTAAAGCCATTTGCCATTTCCAAGATTTAGAGCTATTGATAAGTATTTCGTATACAGGAATTAAAATGCTAGTTGTTTTGTGTTTATAGAAGACTTAGAAATGTGCTTTGATTTGACTCAATTCCAGGTAAAAGGGAAAAAAATTTCCCACAAAAAGAGAACAGGTGCACCACTACCCCTCATTTCTTCCCACTCTGCTTTACAACTTGAGTGCTATTGATAGAGCTGTGGGTGGAATTGGATAAAATAGTTAAAGGCATTTTGGGGACTTCTTTTGTCTGAGTACTAGCCCAGGTTCTTTCGTCTTCACGAAGGCAATAGCAGTTCCACTGGCGGAGTTTGGCCCCTCCTAGTGTTGTTACGGAGCAGCTCCTGGTCCCTATTTGTCCATCGATCTCAACCAAGTCTATTGTCACATTTTTGTTATGTGCCATCGAGTCTCCTGCAATTTATAGTGACTCTGTGTATGCTAATTCTAAACCCTGCCCTATCCTGAGCCAATCTTACTGTCTCATACACCTACCACATTACCCCAGTTATTGTGTCAATCCATCTCATCCAGGGTCTTGCTCTCCGGTACTGTCCCTCCACCCTTCCAAGCATGATGTCCTTCCCAAAGTATGAGACAAAGCTTCAAAATCCTTGCCTCCAAAAAGCAACTTGGTTTCACCTTCTCCAGGACAGACCACTTTATTCTCTTGGTAGTCCACGGTATGTCCAGTACTCTTCTCCAGCATCACAACTCAAAAACGCCAGTTCTCTATCATCCCTAAGCATTGTCAAACTCTCAGATGCATTGCAAGCAATGGCAAAGACTATGGCTTAGATCAGGTGCACCTTAGTCTCCACACTGACGTGGTTGCTCTTAAGCACTCTGGAGAGGTCTCTGACAGATTTTCCTAAAGAACTACGTCTTTTGACTGCTGGTGCCAAGAGTGTTGATTGTGCAACCAAAAAAGCTGAAATTGTTAACAAATTGAGATTGGCTCTTCTAACATGGTGCTGCCAATTGGCCCATTGGTGCAAATGTTGTTTTCTTGATACTGAGCTTCAATCCATATTTAAGGCTGCAGTTCCTGACCTGCAGCAAATGCCTCAGGTCCTCAGTTTCACCAAACATGTTGTGTCACTTGCATAACACAGATTGATGACTGTATAGTCAATGAAATACTGATAGACATTCCTCTAATATTCTACTTTCAGCTAAGATCCAGCCAACAGTGACTATAATGTGCCTCACTAACACCCAACTTGCACATTTAATAGTTCTCTGTTGATGTACTGTTCCAGTCGTTGGATAGCCTTCAATAGGATCTTCACTTATGTGTGATATTAATTTCCATACTGTCAGGTCACCCTTTTCTTTTGGAATCATAATAAATATGGATCTCTTTCAATCAGTTGACCCAGGTAGTTGTCCTCCAGATTTTTTGACACAAACTGATGAGCATGCCCTGGGGTGCATCTCTTTGTTCAAATATGTCAGTTGATATACCGTCGATTCCTTGGTTTTTGCCAATTCTTTTAGGGCAGCTTGAACTTCCTTCACTTTTTGGTCAAATGTTGTTCCATGTCAGCCAATTCTTTTTGGTCATGGTTGACTGATTTCTCCTAAAATCCCCTTGTGATG